TTGTGTTCAGTAGAAGAGGAACATACTCCCCGGACAGTTGCTCTGCAGGGCACACCTATGTCCACGCTTGTCTTATCATACAGGAGGAATCTTTCTGCACATCAAGTCCTCGTATTTCATTCTGGGTGAAAACAAAACTGTTTAATAAACTTTGACCATTAAGGTACCATATCTTCCTTTGATCAGTAACACAGGCCACTGTGTTTTTCATAGATCAGTTGTTTGGACAGTGTGGGAGTGTTTTGAGGTCTGCACTAGCAGGATATTTACACTTGAAAACATACAGATGATCCAAATTGAGGACTAACATCTTTGATCAACCATAAACTGCCTTCCCTAGTCCTGACCTGACACCTCTCTGGGTGAGAGCAAGGAAGTTTTGAGAAAGAAAAAGAAATTAATGAGCTGTTTCCAGGGACAGACTAATTTCTTCCCTACCGAAGGTCTCGCTTACATGGCAATCCACTCCCAAGAGGTATGAGAAGTCACAGAGGGCTTTGCTCATCCTTCCACAAAATCAGCGCTACACCTTAGAAACCAGCCCATGTGCAGGGCGTGGCTGTGCCTTGGTACCACCACAGGGAGGAGAGTTGAGGGGGTGCAGCTCCTGCCTGCTGAAACTAAGTGCCCCCTCAGATATGGCCAAGATGGGAGAAGCACCTGGAAACTGATGCCGCTTGTCTTCCTAAACTGATGCTTTGGCAAACCTCCCTGCTTTCTGCACATCCCAAAGGAAAAACCAACAAACAAAGCACAACAAAACAAAGCCACCCTAGCCTTTAAAGAGCAGAGTCTCTCAAACTCTTGGCGGTCAGCAGCTAAAGGGCACCTGGCAGATCTATCAGCCATTCCCCCTCCCTACATCAGCTCCTATAGCCTACAGCCCATTTCAGAAACTAGTCATCCCCCTCAGAGCAAACCAGATGTCACTCCAGCCTTGTGGGGTGAAGCCTCTTCTCCACACAATCCAAAACACATACTGCTGGTGGCTGGCCACAAGCTTGACCTATGCAGAGGATTTCATCAATCTCTTTGCAGCATCCCACTGACAACTCCAGCAGTTTGTGTTATGACAAAACACGGCCATTAACAGTGATTTAGTTCTAAAAACAAAAGCCTAGTTTCTAGGCACTATTTTTTTTACCTTACAAAAGGGTGGAAGGAACGGGGAGATGAAAATATTACTGACACAAGTGAGTCAGTATTAAAATGTTTTCTTTTTTGAGAGAGAATGTACTTAGACCACACTATCCTCAATGTGTGTTTCACTGCCCGGAGCCTTCACATGTATCATTTTCATATTTCTGATGGCCTTGAATGAGGAGAGAGTCACATTTCTCCCCAAAAGTTATGCTGTTTCAGTCAGCATTGATCTTTGATTGTTCACATGCTCTCCACACGCATCCCTATCTAGGAGACAGTCTGGAATGGGTCCCTATAGTCTTTGCTTTTAGCCTAGGCTACAGTGGCAAAAATCAGTTTGTTAATTCAGTAACTGGTAGAAATTTTTGCCTCAGGCTGGGTTTTGTTTTCAGCCATTAGGGAACAGCCAGCAATGCCTTGTGATTCCAGGCAGCAGCACACACATCTGGGCTGGAGTCACACGCTTATGCTCTTATTGTCCAGATGAGCTTTTTTTTTCCTTTGCTCAAGTAATACTGAATTAAGCCACTTTGTTACACTTAATTGGAGCCAAGGGATACTTCCAGGCTGAGCGCTTTGATTTACTGAATCTTTCTCTTGTCTCCTGCCCTCCCAAGCTCATATATTTGACAGGACCAGGCAGGTTTCTTGTTCTTGGTATTTTTTCCTTCAGAGGTGCATGCTGTCTTTCTCTTGCAGACTGCTGGCTTAAATCCACACATGCCAGCTGCCTTGTTAAGGATTATTGGTGCCCAAAAGTATTTTATTAGCTACCAATAATCGCCTCAGACAGCTGTTAACCTCATAAAAGCCAAGATTAACATGGAGACTTTGAACTTTCTCTCAAGACTGCCAATGTTGACTGAACAGGCACTTTCTGTGGCTTTCAGAGACAAATTTTCCTGATCAGAATATTTGTCAGCAGAACAAGATGAAAAAAGACACTACTTCATCTCCTTCTGTTTCACCTGCTAGTTCACCAGCTAGACTTCGTGAACCGTACTGATGTTTCCTTATGCAAAAAATTTCATCAAATGTCAGGAAATATTGGGCTGTTATTCAAACCATTAGTCCAAAGGAAGTGTGACACAACTTCTTTTAGTTTGTTTGTTGTTTTTTTTAAGTCAAAGGCAGCTGTTATTTTCTGGCTCATAAGATGTCTGCTAAAATGCAACAGAAGCCTTAAAAATATTTTGCAAGTTCCTTCAAAAAACAGTGGTGGGTTTTGTTTTTGGTTTTTTTTGGTTGGTTTGGGTTTTTTTGTTGTTGCTGTTTGTTTGTTTTAATTTAACCTTCTAGTGTTCTCAACAGGAAAAGAAAACAATATATTCCAAATTAATCCATGGAGACAAAAAGGGGAGAAAAAAAGGACTTGAGACTCCCCCACCCCATAAAAGCAAGTAATGGAACTGATCATTGAAAACCAAACCACTCACAGAATACACCTCCTTAAGGCATATCAGAAGAATCTGAGGTATTTTCCCCTCCATGCAGAGATACTAGTAAACAGGTAAATACATCCTTTTAGTATTTGTTTTCAAGAATGTTTACAGGCCAAAATCCACTCAGGTCACCAACATGGCTGCACATTTGAATATATAGCAGCAGCAGTCTATGGAGTCAGAAGGTCAACTGAAGGTAACACCGAAGCAGCTTCTAATATCTTATTTTAACTGTCTTTCAACATTTGCATATTTTACTATCTAGAGGAGAATTAGTATACATGACATACACTTTTTTATACAGATACATAATGTACCTATGTACGCAAGCAGATGTTTTCATATGTGCTCTTATATTTTACATGTGCATGAAAGAATCCTCTAAACTGAAAGGAAAAGAGGAGGAAAAGAGCATGTCATTTTTTTGCAACTGCAGAAATTTGTGAACCACATCTTGGCCATCTCTGCCCAGATGGTGTGACAAGTTCCACAGACTCATCCACAAGTTTGTTTAGCCAAACGTCTCCCTCCTTCCCACCAGTTAAAATAAATAAATAAAGAAGAGAAAGAAACAAAAAGGGAGCCTTGAGGGACTGGATGAGTCAGAGGTTAGTAATGAACTACACATCCCTGGGTCAGTGGTTCAAGCCTAGCCCATGTCAGGAGGGACAGCAAATTGCTGGCAGCCTGGACCTAGAGGATGTCGCTTTATGATTCCCAATCCCAACTCTGGGATCCTCTCTTCATGGCTACTCGCAGTAGCAGGAGGAACATGACAGAAGGGAACTGAAAGACGTGAAATTCTCACCAGCTCTGGAGCAAGACCACCCTAGTGACCCCCATCTGAGCTGCTGCCTCTGCTCCATCCATAAGGAGGTCTCTAGCAGCCAGAGATGCCCAGCACGTGCAGATGCCCAAGTGCTCAGGGCAAAAGGACACAGGTCACAGCCTCAAAGTGCGATCTAATTCTGGAATGATATTTGAACATAGATGTGAGGTGCCAGCATCATTGCTGTACACAGAACTAACAGTCAGTTTTGGAGCAAAGAGTTTGCAAATTCGTTAGGCACAGAGTACTTTAAGGGTCATACCCTGAACTTCTATTCTTTTTTCCACAATGCATTACTTGTACACTCACTTCACTCTGAAATACTGTTATATCCATTTGCAAGCTAACAGTTCTCCTTCAATGAGGTAACTTTAGACCAAACTGCTTCCACGGATGCTTGACAGAGATTTTCCTCCAGCTCCAGAGGTGGGATCTCTACTTGTGAAATCTAAAACAGACCAACATTCACTCTTTTTTATTCAATGTGGCTACAAATGAACAATACAGCTAATACCCATGAAATCTGCATGACCGTTTGGACTCCCATCAGCTCTTCAAGTGGCTATTGAAGTAACATCCTAACCAGCAAGCACATTATGCCAGGAGGCACTTCTGCAACCTACAACTCGAAGTGCAAAGGGAACACTAACCTTTTAAAACTTCCTCATCAGTATTTTTCCAGAGGCCACACTCCCCCACCAAACAACCATTAACTATTTGATGCTGCCCTCAGAACAGCAGATGATCAAAGGTGGATCACCCCAAATGGTTACTAATTGAAAGGCTGGAGAAAGAGGGACTAGAAAGCACCCAGTAAACCTTCATAGAGGAAAGAAATGGGAGATTATTTTAAAACACTCCTATTCCTGTTTCTTTTTTTTCTGTCTGCAGGGGAGGAACAGTTGCAGTCCTGATACATTTCAGCAGCAGTAATGAAACACTTTTATACCACAGCATTACTCTAACATTTAATTGACCATGAATTTCCATCTTTTTGCCATGCACAATTCCCCCATCAGAAACATTGCCCTTTTAAAATTAATCACACCATTTACACTTGTTTGGATATATGTGTAGCAGTTTCTATTTGGCCTGCTTCCCTTTTGCCTCTCTCATTGCCACTGAAATCCCAGGAATGATTTTTTACCTGTGATCAGCAAGCTGAATTTTCTTCTGCTTTGTTTACTTTAATGTAAGTCCACCTTACCACACCTGCAAGCAGGTCAGGTCTCCACTACTTATCAGCATTTTCCAAACAGGCTATGTTTTTTATGCTGGTAGTATTAAGTTGAAAGGGAAGATGTGTATTTCTGTATGAGTGCAATACCAGCATAATTACTTTAGTTTAAAAAACTAACACCTCACATCAGATTCTCACTCTGTTTAGACAGCACTAAGTTTTCAGCTAAGTGACACCTTAGCCTACAATACCATGGACTTCCTCTACCTGAAGTCCATTTTATACTCTACCATGCCCACAAGGAAAGGACCAATATTTATTTAGCAGCCCTCTCAAGACGAATGCACAAGCTCAGCCTTCCCTAGGACAGCTGCTGGTGGCACAGAGCAAGCCCACTCTTGCATACCTGTCTTGATGTTCCTGCAGTACTTGGTAGATGCTGATAAGGAAAGTTTGGTTTTTAAAGCTCCCCACAACGCAGTCCTTGTAGATCCGAAACTCAGCGGCTGTGACGGCCTCGCCCTCAGGAATCTGTGACAAATTAAACTTGAACTCCTTGTGGTGCCGCTGGTGAGGCGTGAACTCCTTGTCATACTCCACTGCAGATGGGAAAGGGAGAAAAAAAGATGAACCGTGACTAAAATTTAACAACAAAAGGTTTCCACATGCTGCCACCTGTTTATTCAAAAAAACAAGAATCCTGTTGTGCCCCCAAAGATAGCCCTGGCAAGTGCCAGGAAAGCTTGTGCAGCTCAAGCCTTTCAAATACAGTACTCGGAAAAGATGAATGTTCAGCTTCTCTAGCCAATGCCTTTGACATTTTCTATTTTTTAAAAGAAAAGCCAGTTTTGGCAGGTGAAGTACAACTATGCATTTTGCTCCTTTGTGAAACTGAAGCTATGATGGCAGCCAGCATTTTCCACTTGTGGATCTCCATGTTCTTCACAGCGTTTCCTTAAGCCTCACATCCCTCTTCTGACAGAGGAGACAATGAGCTCCATTTTGCTTTAGCACAAAAAAGCACAAACAGAAGTTAGCACCAGGCCAACCAATTCCCTAATTGTCCTAAAATCTGCCAGTTTCTGGCTTCAGGGTTTGTGTGTTAGCCATCAGACTGCCTTGTGAGCAGAATTAAGATGACATTTATTTCAAGGGTTAAAGTTAACCAGAGCTTCCCTTCATTTTGCAGAAACCTATCTTAGAACGAGAGAGCTGAGGAGTGACCCCTTTTGGTTTCTGACCTTAGCCCTCCCCAGGTGCCCTATTGGGTATAGAGTTTAGGACAGATGTAAACCAGAACTCCTCCATCTTCAGGCCTCAGGATTTTCATTTTCTCTCTTTGAGGCCCCCTTTGCAAACTACTTCTAGTCTCTCTCTTATATCACTTGGTTACACCTTGGTTTAGTCTGACTTGGATTTATTATTCATTATTTCTTCTAATTTTCTGTTAGAAATTGCTTAAAACATTAACATATTATACAAACATACAGAACTGTATCTTTATAGCCTTGAGGGGAAAAAAATAAAACCAAAAAACTGTTCCCACCAGTGCAACTGCAGGAGTAGATGCCAATGATGAATAAGTCATGATTAGGGACTCCATTACAATCGGAGAAGGTGGAAAGAGAAGTAAAAATTATTTTTCATGTTTGTCTTTGTGCTCACTTTTTGTTGCTTCCCCCTCCCCCTTAATACATCAAACTGAAAAGGCCTCCATGAGACTACCCTCACAACATCCCATATGAGGTAAGCAGCAGTCCCTGTTTTACAGCTGGGATACTGAGTCACCAGGGGAGTGACTTGTCCAAGGACAGGCAGTGGAGGTTTGCAGTGGAGCCAGGAATGACAGCCAACGTGCTTGAGATTCATTGCTTTACCCACAGGTTACCTCCCCATCCACCAGGAGCATATATGTCTCCTGGCCACCGGAAACAGCCCACGGAGATTTTCCACTCTACCTTTCCCAACCGTCTGTTCCTCCTCATCCCCCAAGTCCCAGTTTCATTTGTGTCCTCTCCCTTTCCTTTGGCAGCCCTTTCATGGGAGCTGCCTCATCTGGCTGGGTCCAGGTCCTGGCTCCCTGTGAGACAGTTAGTCACATCCTTCTCTTTGAAGCTCGCCTGGAAATCTCTTCACCTCCTCATGACTGCTGCCGAGCATTTTGTGGGACACCACACTCAGAGATGCTGCTCTAAGAGCTGCCACAGGGCTACCAGGCAAACTCACAAACCCCTGTCAGGCTTGAACACTGCTGCCAATTTTGGCAGTCTCACATTGCATCTGTCTGAGCAGTTGAGATGTCAAATGACTGAAAAATGTGTGTGACCGGACCCTACGGCTTCCAGAAAGGAGGTGGTAACAGCCAGCATCTCCACCAGAGGTTGCACCAAAGCAAACAGGGATGTTGCTCACTTCTAGTGCCACCCAGGAACTACCTTGCTGGCCATCAGTCACGAGCAAGCTGGGCTTCCCTTTGAAGCATGTACCCCTGCTCTTAACTGGGAACGACTCAGGCAATGCTGGGCTAGTTGGCATTGACTCGCATGTACACTCTCCAAGACAGGGCCTGAGCTGCCTGGTTACTCCCCACCCCGAGGCAAGTACCATGGAACGCACTTCCCAAAGCAGAGTGGCCACATACTTCCAGAAAATTGCAAGTATCCAACGAACAAGAAACCATGTTTGCTTGCAGCAGAATGACACGCCCAACTTGGCCATTTTACTTGCTGCTACAAGACAAGAGGATGTAATTAATGGTGAGGGAATGTCTAAATCCACAGGTTTGGAGAGACACGCAATGAAGCAATGATTCTCAATTTAGAACTTGCAGAGTCCTTGCTCGGGGGTGCAATGACCAGCTGATACCCATGTCCCCTCCCACACCAGCGCGAGGACGAGCTGACCTGCGGATGAGGTGCAGCGAGGCTGTTTTCTGCTGAGTTCATGCTGAGGATGATAAAGGAGGATCAAATCAGGAAGAGCAAAGGGAAGGACACAACCAGGGTGAACAGCAAAACACTGTCAGGGTGCCAGAAAACTAAAATTACACCAGAAACAACAAAGGGAATATTTGATGCTTCCTGCCAGCTACAGCCCCATGTCAAGACACAATATGGCCTCGCCAAGCACTGGAGGAGGGGAGCAGAGCCATCTTACCCATCACAGGGCAAGAATAGCATAGGGCTTAAAATAAGCCAAAATGTCACTTTTTGTTCCTTTCAGACCTTCTGTCAGCTACAGCAACTTGCCTCCACCACAAAATACGCAGTTGAAAAGCTATATAGCCAGACAGTAGTCCTTTAAATCAGTATTTTCCCCTACCTTTCTTCTACAGTGTCAAATACAAGCCACAGGAGGAAGAAAGACCCACTGAAACATCTACCACAGAGCATCAAAAGTAGCAGCAGGTATGATGCTTGACTCTTAGTGCCCTTTCCCAGTTTATTACTTGCCCGATATGTTTACAACAGTATTTTCCTGTTTTTAAAAACTCTTCCTTTATCCCTGTCCTTGTCTGAATACCCCACACAATCATAGAAGCTGACTAAACTGATTCTAGGGGAAACATTCTGACTGATTTTGTTATCAGGCTTGGCAGAATAAACAACCTGCAACACACAAATATAGAAACTTTTTTTTTTAATCCTTCAGATTAAGTAATACAGACTTTTCTGTTATAAGAAATGCACAGTCAAAAAGAAATGTCCTTAAGTTGATGGTGTCCTCCTCAGCTGTGTTCAGAAGCGTCTCTACAACATCACAGGATGGAAAAAAGCCTACATTAAGCTTGTATGAAGCAAGTATAAAAGTTTAACGAGTTGGAAAGTTTTTTCTGGCTATGTATCTTCCCATGATACAATGGAGGGTGTTCTTTTTTTTTGCATTGTGGGAGTGGTGAGATATTTAAGTTCTATATACTCATTGTCACCCCAACAAGTTAATAATCAACAGTTTTCATTCAGCAAGACAGCTTAAAAATATAAAATGCCAACAATTCTTCTCTGGGGGCTTTTTTTACCCCTGGAAACTGTTCATTTTTAACAAAGAAGTCAAGCTTTAGAACAGTAAAATTTGGAAAGGCAGGATCCGAGCTGCTTGTTCCCAGGATTACCCAGTCTGTATTGCTATCATGTTACAATGCATAAGATGACTTTGAATTAAAAATGTAGACAGTGCACAACAAAATGCAAGGCACCTGCAAAATGGAGAAATAATTTCTTAAGCTCCTTTCCAAGCATTATTTTTTCCTTGTGAATTCATTGAGGTTGGTCTGATCGGTGACATGTGAAATCCAAAGCTAATTTCCATCTGAGGAAGGACACGTGCATGTCCCAACTACTCAAAGCCCTTGCAGGGAAAATCAGGCTACTCACAACCAAGGCAGGTTGAAAGTGAGCAGCTCTGCATGGTGCTGGCCTCCCATAGCCCTTTCCCAGTGCTGGCTGGAACATCAGGACCAAGCCAGGCAAAACCAGGGATTGTGGAGTCATGACAAAATCTATAGCTGTATAAAATTCATCCTCATGGTCAGCTTATATTATGTTGAACGTTGTTACTCATTTGCTGGAGTAGCTCTTTGGAGACTACAGATCCAGGTATGCAAGTTGGGTAAGGAGATGGCCATCAGAGGTTTTAGTATACCCTCTGGGCCAAGGGGATGTCCACTCCACCATGCAGCTCTCAGCCCTCATCCCAGCTGGGGCTTTTGCTGTTCCTTCACTTGAGACATGAAGGAGGATCCAAGCTGTGAACACTGGGAGTACTCACCCTTGAGCTTTCATTACAGCTCGATTCTGAGCAGAGTGGCTGAGCATGCCACAAACAGTTAACAGAGAAGCCTGCCAGTAGCTCTTTATGTTCCCCTTAACAAATATTTTTAAATACTATACAAACACAACACTATTGTTGAGCAGTTAAAAAGGCAAGAATGGCAAAATTCGGGTTACTGTGGTTTTGCATTTTGTGTATTCTAATTCTAACCCAGTGTTGCAATAGCCAATTTCAGAACAAAATGTGCTTGGTTTAAAAATAACATACTGCTTACAATACTTGTTACTTTAAAAACACTACACACATTTATTTATTTATTTTTTAAACCAATTAATAAACTAACACAATGCATCTATTTTGGTAACTATGCTATTCTAATCCTATTTGACTCTGTCGCATACACCTTGAACCAAAGGAAATGTAACTCTAATGACTGTCATGGAAATAAACTCTCCTTGTGTGCAGGATTTTTTGGCATTTCTTTTTGGATCTAAAGTACTTGGCACACAGAAATAACAGGACAACAGTCTTTCCCAGGGAAACACAATTTTCACTCAGAACAACAGCAGTAGCAAGTGTCACAATATTCAGTGGTTTTCTCCAGTTCTCAGCTGTTGAGAAAACTATTAGGTCAGGTGCTCAAGTGAGACTCTCAATAGTAGTTCAAAAAAGTCTTTAGCTGATCTTCTGGGAGCTAGAGCAAAAAATACTAACATGTATACTCAAAATGTAGAACTCCAAAAGTAAACTTTTAAAATGTATTGTCTGTACAAATATTTACAACTTCTACAACAACCTAGCTCCTTGGAGGGGGCAGATAATGAGAGGGGTCACAAGTTAATAACATACCACTATTTGGGATGGGACATTCGGCATCCGTCCTGCCTCCAGCAAGCCTGAAGCTTCTGAAGAATCGTTTGCACCCCAAGATCATCAATGATGACTTGGAGAACTTGGTTTCACAGGACCACTGCAACCACACTCCAGCAAAAGCAACCAACGTTCACAGCCTGCTTGTGCAGACTGAGTTTTGCACATGTTCTGGAATTCAGTTTAAGTACAAGAGTAAACCATTCCTAATAATTTCTTCCCAGCCTTCATGTATGATCCCCTCCGTAATAAAATGAGAAAGCCCCTGAAAACTGGAGTTCCTAGAAGGATATTCTCCACCTTAGCTGCATAAGAAGCCACGCAAAAGCAGCACAGAGGCAATTTCTCCATTTTACGTCACCAATTTCTTCATTAAGTCAACAGCATTTATCACATCTGGAGCAATGAAGCAGTGGAATAGGCCCCAAATACTTTAAGCATTACCACAGCTTCAACAGTCCTTTCTAATAAAAGGGCCATGTACAACATATACGACAGATCTACTGCTGCAACCGTACAGCTGGATCACAAGAATTTCTTCAACAATAGCTGTCAATAGTTTACAAGGGACAAAAATTATGTCAGCTTAAAAAAACCTCTCAATCGTGGTTACAGCTGTTGTAGAAAGAAACAAAAGGCAGTAAGAATCAAAATATAGTGCAGGATTATTATAGAAGTTGGTAGCACAAGGTGAGCAAGGACATAAGAGAAGCTTTCAGGCATGCAAGCCTTCAGTGCATCCAAGCTGAGGGACATCCAACAGCAAAGACTCAGTCCTCATTTGCATATAAGAGTTTGCCTCCTATTTTAAAAAAAAGTACTGATCTAGTTAATCAGACATAGGGATCTACATGTATGAGACCTGTAGCAGATCTGTTTTACTCTGAAGAGATGCCTATGGTATGCCTGGAGGTTTTTTCCACATGTATCAGGTGAAACTGAAATAAGACACGAAGCCTCCCAAACAGTCACACCTCACTGGCAGACAATCACAACTGTAGAAGCACCGTTACCACTAAAGACGACCGTTTTTACTAAAATAAGCAGTATTTCCTAAATACTGTGTAAAAAAGAGCAAAGAGTATAATCCAAAGAGTACAGAGTTCCAGTTTAACATCCTAAAACGGGAAGAACAGGAGACTAAAAGGCTTCACACCTACTTTCTGCTAGTTAACAAGGAAACAAGTTTAACAAGTTGAACTGTACTGAGTAGACCTGCAGGTGCAACAGCAGCAAAAACAGATGACGCCTGGAAAAAGTGAGGATGCATCAAGGAGAGAAAGAATCACTGCTACCTGGTTTTCACACTTGCATGTAGTATGTGCCACTGTCTGTTGGATGCCAG